CATATGTATATCAATCTACGTTAACGTAGCTTGTTGACGTAAGGAATTTTTTTTTGACCAGAATTGAACTTGGTTTGTCAGAGAGGTAGACGCCCGCACTAGCATTACTGCCCCAGGAAATAATCAAACGTACTTTTTCTGTGATTTTACCATTTATGGGAAGAAAGTAGTTCTTTTACAGATGGTTGAACTTGAGGTTGTAAGTTAATTTACAACGTAACTCGTTCACAAAATTGCTAAGTATTGTGCCTTTAAATTGGACCGATTAACCACTAATGTAATTGTGGTCGAAGCCTGTGTATATCCTCGTTATTTCATTTACAGGTATTAATTAAATAGGTAGAACATAACCCTTGTAGGCCACAGACATTGATCATTCCTATTAGATGCTTAATGAATAGACGCCTCAATAGACGACTCTGATGAAAGTGGCCAAGGTTAGTGGCAATAGGACAGAACATCTGCATATCATCATTGTACTATAAAAGTATATTCTGTTTGGGATCTTCGAAACAAGCTGGTTCGATTAAGGTGTCCTATGGAATAGTCAGCCCGTTGGCAACGTTTGCTGCCAATATGGGGATACATGAAAGATAACGTCTACTCTAGAAGACTAACAACGCTAGAAGCAGTAGAAGTTTGTAAATCCGTAGCCCACCGAGATAAGCAGTGGATCGATGAACGATTACAAACACCTGTGGCAGGATAAAAACTCAAACATCTCATGTAGATTTTTAATTATATGTAAACAATAGCTGAGATTATAGTTAGTCGAACTACTCACACAGTTTTGGGACACTCTGCTCCTTCTAGCAACAGACGGCAATAGAGTATATGTAGCCACGGTTCGCTGTTTCACACAGAAGTAGCAGCGCTTTGGACGGGACCAACTGATCCAAGCTAGACTCCGTTGTGTAAAATTGCACAAAAGTTACCTTGTAATTCATGGGAATCTCAGGGCTCAGGACTTCCTGCAGACAGACGTCCGAACCGTTATACCGACGCAATCGCGAACGAAACGGGAAGCCATCGTAGCTAATACAATTTACTATTATGATTACTGCAGCCAATTGCTTATATTGCGTCAGTATGAAATTTCATAGAAAATAAAAAACGCCCTATGTGGCTGAGCGAGTTACACATTCAATACGTGGCCTGTTCTGTTCTGTTGGCCAACTTATTAACTGGATGTGTAACTTCCACGTTGCAGTGACGACTTCGTCGGCCGGAACGAGCCAATTGTTCGGTGTTTGGGCATTGCTATTAGGCACTGTGGTTTTCGCTGACATTACGTCTGTGCTCGGCATCCAACCTTCCGGTGATTACCCCCTGGCGCAGCACAAGGATGGTTCTGGTAACCCCCAATCAGAATTCAAGCAGCGCAGGTAAGTTAGCAGCGAATGCGGAATTGACTGTCAACTTGAATCTGTTTTAGACACAGTTAGCAGTTGCTTTTTAATTTGTAAGTAATCCAGCAAGTAGATCCATTGGATTGGTTAGGTGAGTTACTGATCGACTTCGTGACTGGCCAGTACCGACGACAAAACAAGTTTCTGTGAACTACTTTTTCATATAACTTATGCATAGTTGAGCTTACTGCAGGGATAATAACCACTGATTATTGTTAGAAAGGAAGTTTTTAGAAGCTGGCTGGTTACGCTGGGAAGGACTATCAAAAGTGAAGTAATAAAATAGAGTGAACGCTCCCTAGACTTCAACCGCTATGTAGAGCCCCATTACAGCCCAGCCTCCTATGTTGGCTCAAAACAGTCGGTCAATAATCTACGGTACGTATGATCGGAGGCAATTTTTAGGCTTGTGATTTTTAACTGTTACAAATGTGAGTAGAGGGGTGTCTTGGAGCCACTATAGCGCGATTAGTGGACACGCTGTTAAGGATTTGCTTCGTCTAATCACGACAAAAAGAGCTGTGAGCATAACTTTGTAAATCTTCAGGGAATTGATGGGCACCGATTGGTCAAGAATTGCTCATTGTACAGTATCTATAGCTTGTCAGAATTGCCCAGACTCTTAAAAACGTCGTCATCTGATTTTTCGCTTAGCGTGTCAAGCAATAAGTTTTCCTCACCTGTGGCGTACGTAACAACGAATCGTCGTTCCGAGGAGCTCAAGTGGCAGCCAAGCCGGATTACTCCAAAAACGGTCCAAGCGAACGACATGCACAATAAAAGTTTCCCCTAAGCAATAAGTAAATTGAGTTATTATCTTCATGGTGTCTGGGTATGATCTGGCGATTTAATATCTCCTTTTTACTAAAGCATAGTAATTTTATGTTTGACTTGTTTTTATTATTCATAGTCACCGAAATTTGCCTCTTTTTTCAAAATCGTCTTCCCTGTTTCTGCATTCAACCCAAAAGCGAATTGAGTTATTGGAGAAGTTAAATAATATCCTGTTCGCTTTCTTTTAGATGGAGCTCAATGGTTTATCCGAGGAATCCTGCTGCATTCAGGAGACGCAACGGACTGTTTGGAGTTCACAAAGGACCCTGGGAAGACCACACAACTATTGATCCACTTAGCAGGTTAGGAAAGTTATTTTCAATGGAGATAGTGCTTTTTCAAGAAATTATTACGTTAGGCTGTATTGGGAGACACTATACAGGCATCCCATTAGAAAGGACGCCTTTGTTTCTTCAAACGTGTTGATGGCAACATGTGTCTTCACAGCGTGATTTTCCGTTATAACAAAAACTAGCCATAGTAGATGCATGAAAAAACAAGCCAATGATGCTTCCACCTTTGGAAGGATGGGGCGAAAAAATATAGTAAATATAGGTGGCAAACTTTCGACCCATTTGTTTGTATTTCTACGAATTTTATTTAGTATAGTGCATTCTCGCGGTAAGCTACTCAAGACGGGAGCGCTTGAATGTTGAATAAAAGGGACATTCGTGCCTTTTATGAGGCGGGTGGCCCTAATAATAACGCACTAGAAGGAACGGTTTAGTAATGGATTATACTCCTTAAAGTACATACCCCTACTACTATCTGATGTCTGTTAAAGAGCGGTTTTAAGCTACAGATTAGATAACTTGCCCGCGTTAATATTCTTGTTGAATCTACGCTAATGCTATCTCTTCAATAAGAGACAAGAAGTATAAACACAAAAGTGGATTGGCATTGAGCAGCTATCATATAGTTTTAAATCTGTAAATTTTCCATGTAACGCAAAACAAATTTACAAACATCTAACACTAGGTTCTCATCATTTTACCATCACTTCGCAGTAAATTGGAAAATAGGCATCCGCTACTGCAAAAATGGAGAGATTTTGCTCTCTGTAGCCAACATCGCTTTTTTTTTTTGTTGTTTTTCCAATTTTCTTCTGCAAGATCAAAGTGTGTGCTCTCAAATTCGAACCCACACCATATCTATAGCTTTCCGCTTATCGCTGCCGTACCATCGCGGGAAGAAAAGTTACATAAACATTACAGGCCTTTTAATAACTAACATTCTTGTTTGAGTGTAAAAGTTGTATATTCGTCTGTTTTTCTGAATTCGATGTTCATTCGCCCTATGTTCTAAATGCATCATCGTAAGCTGATGTTTAGATGAAAGTTCTCAACGGTCGCAAGTCTGATGGCAAAGGAACAACTAAACTAGAACTGCCTGCACGAAAATGCTTTCACTATAAATATTCTTATTTTTCAGGTTCCATTATCCTGGTATGAGAGTAAACCGCCGTCGGCGACCAATAAGGCCGGAAGATGAGCCTAATAGACAACAAAATACAGCACAAGTCGCCAGTGAGTACAAATCAATCATAGACGATTTGTCTCTAAGCTCCAGAACTGAAATCACAATGAAAGCACTGCGCCGTATCTTATAAGAATCTTAATATTTCACCGAAACATATTTCTTTTATTCTCCATGTTATCATTAACCCAGCTGTTCTTATTACAAGAATTAAAGCGACTCATACCTCTATACATTTCGTAAATAAACAGCAGGAACGATGTCTTCGGAAGATCACTTTTCGCCGTTGGTGCAACGGCGAAAGCTCCTTCGACCCCGAAAACCGCCTGTGATACCCTTCAACCGTGATGAATCCGATGGTAGAGGAGTCGACACAGCAAGCGACGAAGCTCAAAATACGAATGCGGACGATAGAGGAGAACAACCCCATCTGATCCCTTTCAGATACTCTACTAACAACGGCTATTATCGACAGCCTCCGGTGAGAACGCAAAGTGCTAACCATTACAATTGAATTATGCGTTTGGTACTAGAGCTCATAATAATTCGAACTCACGATAATAGAGCATCAGGTGCTAGAAAAAACTGGGGCCGACCAGTGGGTCTTCTGTGTTGACTTACAGATTTACTCTAAACACGCCAAACAATTCTATTGTTTGGCTTTTCTAAAGTTTGAAAATAGTTTTATCAGTCGTTTTAGATGTCTTCTATAGTAAATCGGATACTCAAGAACGGATATCCAGAGACTATTTCAACCATGTGCAATAGCTTTCCTCAATTCTTGTGTGTCTTTTTGATAAGACACTTGCCTTTTAAGGAAATCATTGTTAAACGTCTCCTTATATGATTCGTCATTTGATGGAGCAATCGATAGAGTAGGCTTCTCCGATTTTTCATGCTCGTCAGATCATTTAGAAAAATAAATATTAACAATTAATAATAAATATTAACATTAGATCGCTGCCTAATCAGAGCAGTTTGCTGCCAAAACAATCATTTATCAATTTTGTGTTTTATAATAATTTATCTATACATAACCAAAGTTCACAACATTTAACTTGTGTTCATTTTTCAAGCGCCCGCATGTAAACCCTTCGGGGAGTGACGCACCGAGTACCACGGAGGGTCTGTCCGACGAGACAACAGAGACAAAAGGTTATATCGATTTGCCAGGTTATTGGAAGCCTATACGAGTCCCTCCTTACGGCTACAATTATCCCAGATGGTACGTATGTAGTCCTGTTTGAGTCAACAGCTTGTGAACAAGGGTTGAACCCGAGTATATGTTTTAACAAGTGTTTATTAATACTCACTTACCTGAGTTCGTTTGCGCTTGAATACACACGTGGAGGTACCATGTTCAACGTACGAAGGGAGACGCTTTGATTTCTTATGACAAAGAAAAAAATGATGAAGAACAATCAATTGAGGAAGGATTCTCAAATCCTGGGTCGGTCGGACTCTTGCAAGGTCCAACCAATGAGACCACCAAGGAGCTCGAGACATCGAAGTCTTCATCTAGCAATGAAGGTTAGCTCTTAATTAAAGGCTGCAATAAATTTTGATGGTTACATTACTGTGCCTGTTTAAGACGAATGTTGTGAATCTTATGCACCACTTGATGCCCCTCTAAATGACATCAAACAATAATGAGAGAAAAATTTTCAGCAGTTGATAGATTATATTTGTAGCTAGTTTAATGTCAGATGCATATACACATATGAAAACTTAAATTTTCTTTTAATAATATGGCGGATAGGCTCACAGTAGAGATAACGGCCTTAAAGAGATTTTCAGATTTAAACTAACCTTATCAATTTTTTTCGGTGTTTTATACTGTGTTATTTCTCTGTCTATTTCCATAATCACTTGTCGTCTTACCGAGTAAGACAGTAGTACAACGGAACAGGCAACTAATTCGGGTTCGTTGAATTTGCGATCACACGTGACCCTGTCGCCAGCATTTCCCACCAAATCCCGAGGATACCCGTTTCAGTTAGGTTTGCAGGGTCTAACATCAGTAAGAGATGGCTTGCCATCGCAAAGACCGCGCATGCCATTCGAAAAACCTACTTTCGGTCCTTCGGGCGTTGCAGGGTCCACACCACAGCCAGAGAGACCGATGGACTATCAGACATGGCTACGAAGACACCACGGAAAAATGAACCACCTAACAGAACCTGTCACTGATGAAGTGAGTGAAGTTACAACGCCATCAGCTCCTGTCCTCGCACAGGCCACCTCTGTATTACCTCATGCTGATGAAGGTTAGTAGGAAACTTTCTGCTTCATAATTAATACCATGTGCCATAGTATTTTAGCCTTACATATACCTATGAAAAAGAGTGCAACCCGTGGTCCAAATTTGGTCATATGATATACTGGGGGAGTGGACAAAGCCAGTCATTTAGTAATGTCACGCATGTTTTAGCTCTACTTTTACCCTCCTTTTACCCAGAATTAACGTGCAAATAAATTGTATAAACGTACATACGTAAATGAATATATTGAATCTATAAACGGCCAGATCATCGTAGTTTATTATGTCAAGTCACCAGCAGATATTAATGGGCATATAACGAGGAATGCTTTCAATACTAATAACACAAATTATAGAGAAAAACATAGAGCTGTGATGATAGCTATGCTTATGCGGGACAATTCGCTTAATAATATCCAGGCAGTAAACAGAAGAAGCCGTACACCGTCTCACATAATCTATGCAGTAATTTTTGCTGCCTATCAATCTGCGCGCTTAGTTATATACCGACCCACCCGATGAGGCTACGAGTGTTTTTTCGATGCCCCACTGCATTCAAATGGGTTAAATTTGACATACGTATCATCTGCCATCCCTATCGCAGTCGATGCCCCGTTTGCTACCACGCTAGAAAGGTTCCTCTTCTTATTGATGTAATGATTTCGTCATAGTTTTTTTTTTTTTTTTTTCGTTACAATCATGGCGGTCGCTCTTTCCTACTGGTCCGCGCCCAGCTGCCGAAATGTTACGTTAACAAGTTCTATGGCCGGTGTGCATGTTGCTACCTGATTGGTATATATTATTCTTACAGCTTAATCATTATAACTGTCGTAACTTCATGTCGGCCAACTTCGTTGTAATTATTTCTGCTCATGTAAGCGCAAGTAAAAAGTACTTTCTAACAGGAGCTTCGACTAGGATACGATGTTTTCGACTGCCAATCAACAACATATGGTAGGTCAACGCCCAGCGATTGTGTCAGCTGCTCGTGAAGGTGTGGTAGTCTCGGTCCGTTGATTCGGCCAGCGTAGCCTTCTGTCGCAATTGAAAGAGTCGCGCTTGCATTGGCCACAACCTACATTCACCCAACCCAATAATACACTGTGACCGACGACATACAGTATCTCAGTGTATCTATGGGAGTGAATATCCGGTCCTTGTTGCTGTTTCGCTAATATGTCAGTACCTGCCATTCACCATGAAAGAACTGTGTCTTTTCCACGCTTTCATCGGTGCCCAGTGCGACACATTGGGTCTGCCCCCGGGGGTGTGGCGTTTCAGCGCCCGTTGTTGTAAGCCGGTTACTCCTATATCTGATGCCAACAGAGGCAAAAATAAACTTTACTTGAACGCTATGATGTTTTTGATTCTCCGGCCTCATTATCGCTACTGCTAAGAGTCATTTGATGGACTTTGGTATTTACCAGAGGGTAGCACCATCAGCAATAACAGAATCGGAAATGGCATCAACAGCGCGCAGATTCCTGTTCGGCTTCTTCCTTTTTGGTTTGTTTCTGACTAACTTTTCTTGGACTATCCTATGAGGATGTTGGATCGACGGACTGTTAGATGGACTAATGAACCGGGGGCATTTGCTGTCACGCATAAACGGACAGAGATGCCGTTGGTGGGGGGTGAGAGGATAAAATGCCACAAACGCCGTCATCTCCGGTGGCGTTCAGACGCCGGTAATGCTACGAGCCACAGACGTGGCAACACCTACAATACCAATAACAATGTGAACCTCAACATCCATCGTTGTCGTAAATAGCTTTTGTTTAGCGAACAATTGAATTGCTTCACGACAGGAAGAAGAACAGCTTCAGTGGACTGCAGCTTCGGCTGCTGATACACCTGCAAACAGAATGAATGGCAGTGGCAACAACTTCGAAAGCGTAGCAGCATTAATCGGCTAACAGGAAGAAAAACCCGAATGCCAATAGTAACACGACTGAAACAGACAAACACGGAAACTTTCGTGGTACGAACGACGCTGCTGCTCTGTCCACTGAGGCAGCTCAGCCAGGTATTCTAATTGATGATCAACTCTTTCCCACTGGCTAGCAAAAGGATAAAAATATAATTGAACAATAAATACTGCATTACGGCAGAAAACGAGTACTTTTGCCCGGAGGTGTATCATTTATGCTGCTAATTGGGTTTCGGCTCTTTACTAAGACCGTTCACAATAGGCTATTTCCCGTTTTTTTATGGGTCATAGCTTACCTATGTATCTGGACCGGTTCTTTTGGTCTTTTTATTGCGAAGCTTTGCCGACTGAAACACATCAAATTGTCTTTTTTTGTAAGCTCGGGGACGAATTTCGATTTTTTTATATGCCTATTTTTAAACATGAGATAACGTGGTTCCCTAACTTTAAATTGCTGCGATTGTCTCATAGGCAACAGGTTAGCAACGAAATTTAAGAAAACAGGTTTTGTACTTCTCAGGATAAGTTAACTGCAATTGATGCAAGCTACAAAGTGTTAGGTTCTGCTATTTTGGGATTAACGCCGATGACGGATCGATTACCTAGGCATTGCAGGAAATCATTTAACTGGCTATGGAAAAGATAAAGTTAGAATTTCACGCTTTTTCCCAATTTTTGTGTAACTGTGGCTAGGACGAACATAAGTTATTTTACCGCTAAATGTACTGCCAACAGATGCGGATTACGATTGACCGCTAATGGCGTTTAAATCGTTGACCTGTTGCTTCTATCTTCTTTGACGTTGTTCACGCAAGAGGAATAAAAAAAAGGTAGTGCACGTCAATTAAATTTCATTTTATTGATTATAATAGTATCCGAATTCCGTCTTACAACAGCTAGCTTAAATTAAACTGTAGAGTGCAAAGCATCTTCTTTCTTCATTTCTTCTCTTTTTCCTCTTAGCGTTATATACTTTGATTGGCTGCATTCATTTCATGTCTCGTGTCGGTTTTCAACCTTAGCTACGCTAGCACCTACGTCCACAGCATCGTCGACGGCGACCTTCCCAATATCGCCTTCACCGTCTGGTCGGCCGATCACTGACGAGAACAATGGCCAAACGCTTGTTGAGACCGTTACCTATTCCTCACCGCCGTACCGTCCCTTTGATTCTTCTAGGCCTGAATCTTCGTCAGGCTATCCCGCTATAGCTAAACCCATTGCAGAGGCTGGTCCTCCGAAGGTCCTCTCAACTTCAGCAACATCCACATTCTACACAAATATTAAAGAGGATGGAGCTGCAAACCCGCAAAACAGGCGCCACAACATTCAAGCAACCTTTATTGGACCCGTAAGGCATCACAAGCCTGGCGTCACTACAATGCAGGTACAACAAATGATACGTTAGCCGATTATGAATCGCACTTGTCCCATTTCGTGGCGATGCGAGGGACGAGGAAGACGTTGAAACAGACTTCAATGAACGTTAATATCGACAAACATTTATGAATCGTTTCCATTTATAAAAATAAATTTGGTTCGGCTTATTATTTAGTGAGCCTCAAAGCTGTTTGCATTAAACTGCAGTATTTTAACACGAAAAAATATAGGTCAAATTGCATAATACGATTGATTCTGTTTCACAGTGTACAAATCAGATGTTCACAGCCATACACTGAGTGCTTCGCAATATGTTTTTTCTTTTATGGCATCGCATTAGCTAAGAGCTTGTTTCAAAAACGTGTGCGTTTCACTCCTTTAAATACGCGTAGTTCTTGACTCGATCTCAGATTAACTTTTGACACTAATAGATACATGGGTAAATTAATAGCCCTCACAAAAAATAGGCCGTCATATTAAACTTCACTATAAGTAACTTTGAATATGTATGTCACGGTTTCCGACGCAACTGAACATCACAGATTCGAACGAACGGAATCTTCTGAGGGTATTCATTCTATATATCCTTTATCTGATGTACACTACATTATCTATTTTGTAGCCACACGAGAGTCATCATCATCAGCAGCAGCAGCAGCAGCAGAAAAAATATTCACAATCATTTGAACGAAGTGAGGAGCAGCAGCGAAGTGCCTCTCAGCTAGAAGGCGTTCGTAGCAGATACGCATATCCGGAGTTCCCTTCGAAGGTCGGAGAAGACCAATCCGAAGGCCCTGCCCAAGCAGATCAACAGGACAGGTTACGGGCCGGTGAAGTGGCCGGCGTGGTTATCGGAATAGTTTCTCTCATTGCAACACTCGTTTGTACGAATGCTATATCGTAAACGAACGATCATGTAGTTTGTACTAAGAATCATTCTTATTACTATAGAAAAGTTTAAGAGGAGTAGATTGTCACTCGGTCACACATAACACTGTCTCGCCCTACCTACTTACCACTACTACTTCGTTACATTGTGAAGAAATGTATAGACACTTTACGTTGTCAGAAAGCATCTATTGTCTGCCCTAAATTTTAGACTGAGAACGAACGAAGGCTCGGACCCAATTTAAGAAATGAGTTTTTCAAACTGAAAATTGTTGCTTGAACTAGATGTTCAATGAGGTAACCCTCAGGTGACCGCAGGTAAGGAGAATAAATTCTCAAAGACAGTGTAAAGTATGTATACATTTTTTGACCCGCCCTGTGTTATTGATACATAGTTTTCAGCCAGTTTTGTCATTATCGTAGACGCATCCTAAGTCATGTATGTCAACATTTTGTAGGTTGCGTGATCTTTCTCGTGCTCAAGAAGCCCCTGGCTGCCTCGGAAGAACCTGCTTTCTCTTCACCTGAACCGCCGATTACCTCGCTTCAACGGACATTTTCGGGAGGCGTTAATAGAGCGATGTTTGTCGGCGATGTCAACTCACACGGTATGGGAATACCACCAGTGGGGGATTTCGATGGGGCAGATGAAGACTCGAGATCGTCACCGCCCCCTCCACGACCCCCGAGCAGCCATACCTCACTTCTTTCGCCAGCTCATCATGGGCAAAGTCACACAGCTGGTCTTAAAGGTACGTTGATGCAGTCTATTCCCGAATGGTCCTACTCACCGGCAAGTTCGATCCGACTGTCATTCGACGAGGTCCAACAGGCTGTTCAGGGACAGAGAAGCGGCAGGGATCGAGATTTTGGTCGTGGCCAGAGAGGTGGAGAACCTCCAGGAGGACACAACGGTCAGGCGCTTAGCCGAGCAGAAGTGAACCTGGCGCCGGAACATCGAGAACCGCTAGCAAGACCAACAGGCTACATTTGACCGACCCAACAGGTCTGTACGCTACTGCAAACAGGATGGAAGCTAGAGCTGTCATGAAGCGATATGAAAATGCAGAGGCAATAGCGATGGTCTATGCAGCAGCGGCTATGCACCTCGCTTGTGTGCGATCCCATCTCACTGAAACAGCAATCAACAGCCTGAGTCCGTTTCTGTTGAAGGAACAAACTCTGAGTCGACACCATAAGAAAGGGAGGCTAAGCATCAGCTGAGCAGATGGTCAAACATACAATGTAGTTGTTTGATACTCGACTCTAAGACGTTATACACAAATATATATATATATATATATATATGTATGAGAGCGAAAGGACTGAGGAGGAGTGCCGAAAACAAGCAAAGTTAGATAATGTATAGATGTCTTCTGGTTGATGTTTTGCTTATGGATCCGATACTGTAGAATAGTACGTTTTTAGCAAGGCAAGAGAGAGAGAGAGAGAGAGAGAGAGAGAGAGCGCGAGAGAGACTTAGCCAAGTAAACTCTTACGGACTGCGTATGTTGATCTAAATTCAATTTTACCGAAATAAACTATAGGTATCGTAAAACAAAAATATCTACTCATTGTTTGTACAAAAAGTAATATTTAAGTCATATTTACAGACATGTAGTATGGCATATGTGTGGTATAACATGTGAAATGGTATTATATTACACGCTAAATATTATAGTATAATATAATGTATGAAATATGTACATATCGGTAAATTCTCATTAGATAGTGGTCAAGTTAGCAAGTGTCTTCTTTAGGCTGACTATGTAGATGTCTTGGAAAATCCACCTCTTCGTCCGGGTACCACGCCGGAGATCTGAAACCAAAAAAATTATATCTTTCCGGAGTTTGTCTTCGCTGGTAGCGTTAGATATTGATCACCGGCTTGCTTTGCGTGCAATATGTTCTAAAATCTAATTATCTCAGGTAGAGTCTCAGAATAGTGCTTAGATCGACTTACCGCTGTCTGCGACATCGTGCGTAGCGTACTGACCAGTATTGATTTTCCGTTCAACGTGCTGTTCTCCTTGTTGAGTAGTACGATATAGAGAAGCTTCGAATTTGCGTTCGTCAACGCATTTACCAAAGTGACAATAGCCTCGGGCTCTACCCTCAGCTAGACAAGGCGTTCCGGGCGGAAAACGCGTATCTTCAAGGGTATCCATTCCGTAAAACATCAATGGATTAAAAAGATCCTGGCAAGCGACCACGCATTGCTCGTCTACGTCATCTTTGCGAAATCGGAACAACAAGCCAAACAAAATTAGGTGAAGATACGTAAAGACAGTCGGAAAATGCTCAGATGAATCTTTCTACACGGGTTTCTGAAATTGCGTTTACCTACCTTACTTTGAATAGTCAACATATGGTTCCGCAATAAATATCTTCCTGGAATCTGTGCCGCCTCCTTCAAGTGCTTGTTTTTTTAATGGATTCAGGTTGAAGAAGATGATTGTTCTATATTTAGCTAGCTATTTTTGAGTAATTTGATTATCGCGTTACATAGGCAGATACATAATGCAATTTCAAATTCCGTGCGAGGCATGATCTTTACGTTATCTTCGATAACAGCTTCCGTTAGAATTGATGAGACCCGCTATTGCTTATATCTGCACAAAACATCTTTAATGCTATTATTTGTTGTTTACATTGTTATATAAGAATAGGATAATAAAAGGGAACTCAGTTGTAACTTACCATCATCTTTATAGGATTTTTGTATGCCGACTCCGTTAAAAAGATGAGTATATCTACGCTGATGCTTTTTGCACAGATTTGTCGCATACTCATTAACTTCAATAACAGAGGAGCACTGCAACGAAAGTATCAATTACGTGTTTAGTGAAGGCCCAATCAATTCTGAAGTATTTTGTTGACTGTATATTGTTGCAGGAGGACACAACAGACGTGTAGTCGGCTCTATGTGTAAGTAAACGCACGATAGTGACTTTTCTAACAGAAGATACCAGAAATTTCTGCGCATATTAATGATCCATTATTAAGGCCTACAGACGTATCTGTTACACACCACCCACCTCGCTTCGATCATCACAAAGGCCCATTGAATCCATTGCACAGTCGGCACTGAAAAAATGGAGGCATGAGGTATTTTAATTCTAACGTGCCGTTACCGTGCCCATTGTATTGCCTTTCAGCAACGCTGTATAAGTTAGTGAACTTCACTATGCGCAATCGATTGCAGTGACGCAATATTCTGAAAAAACTATCCACCAGATCTTCTACCCATATTGATGAATTTGCCGTTAGGAACGACGCTGGATATCACCAGTAGACCGCACCCGAAATAGAGAGACTTACCAACCCAGTTGGAGGAGAGTTCCCCTTCCTCCGCGAATACACGAGTGTTTACACTGTTTTCGGGACCCGCTTCCGCCTCTGGCGCTCTCGTCCTCTGTGGGACGCTTTTTTGTGGTTGATTTTGAAGGAAGTCGAACAGCGGGCGCAATGCATGCTACATACAAAGCATAAAGTGCAAAAACAAGTGTTTTTCCTTTTTTTAAAGAAAAAACAACGTCAACTGGACATCTTGTGTCCGTTTCGCAACCGACCGAATTCAGTAAAGCAGACTAACAACATCTTACTTTCTCCTACCGCCACATTCCGACAAGATCATTTCACGTGAGGGACGGTATTACCCAAAGGAGCTAACAAAAATATCAATAAAAATCGTAGTTTTTGGCTTTATGACGGCCTCAGCGGTAATCAAGACCATGATTATAATTATCCAAATCAAATAGTAACTAATAACCAATTTTATGGTAGTAAATACAATGTACGTAGTTCGCAATCGGCATAAACATAAACAAGGATTTATTGCAGTTTAGTTTATAGTATGTATGCGTGCATACCCTACAGTTTAGGTACCCTATCTATCGATCAACTTACTCCACTCTTCGCGTCGAGGTTCACGGTGAACTTGAATGGAATTTCCTTGGCAATCGAAGCGCATACAGTTGCCCTTGACACAGAACTTATTAGCAGGCTGGTCATGCGCGTAACATTCGGCACCGTCTGGTAGCACACCCATATAATCGACTATTCCGTTATCGCGACGGCACCATATACGGCACGAGTACCTCTCTATTCCGAATTAAAAGAACATTATTGCGCATCATTACATCAAGTGTTATACAAGCCACTGAATACATTGTAACTTAAGAATGCAGAATTGGGAAATAGCCCTACTCATTTTCGAAGTTTAACTAATCTTCATTTTGAGCTAAACCACATCCAGTAGGTTCACGCTGCTGCCTGTTCCGTAAGTTTATACATATCATATAGATAGATAGATTCGAATTTGTCGTTTATGCGTATGCGCTCAGAATGTTCCTTGATCCGCATTCAGATAGCTAGCTATGTGCGTCTGCCATTTTGAACGCCCTGTGCAGTACGAGACATATATAATCATCGAAGAAATTACCCAGGTCCACACGGTACTAGCGCTACTATCCATTTCAAGTATTTGCTTGACCCTAAAAAACCATTCTAAGATATTTCCCATAACTTCCCATAACTTTTTCATATATACTAGAGTGGTCAGCAAAACTGAGATCGATTGTAAATTTTTTTCGTTTACTCGATTCGACTTGAGCTAGTATCCATAAATAACTTTCCTTCTCTACATTTATTCTTAATATTCTATTAAGAAATTTCCAAATATAGTATATATATAGCAACGATAGTTAATATATGGCTATATATGTCAGGCTTGCGTGTGATCATGTTACGGGGTGTCAATTACGCCGGAATAGATTCGGTCATTTGTCGTATATGGGAAATTGAAGAAACGCTAGAAGCCCTTTGTTTTTCTGGTTCCAGCAGTGCTACGAATCATGCAAAAGAGAAATTCCAACGATCCTAAAACCCAAGTCACGGTATGCGTAAATCCTAAAACCAGCCATTTTTTTGAGCTACTTTGCTTAAGCGACGTGCATGACTCAAGTGGAACCCAGGTAACAAAATGAACCATTTTGACTCCATCCTAAGTAAACGAGAGCGATAGAGAGAAAGACCTTACTAACCCATATGTAGGTAACGATGTACGGATAATTCGGAGTATAATTTACTGCGAAAACTCCAGAAGGTATTTAGTGGTAGTGGTCGCAGTGGGGGATTATAAATTCAATTATAGTTTAACGTAATTTGCAAGAAAGCAAATGAGTAAGAGAACTGACCATCATTTTGATGGAATTGTGTTCCTGTCCCGCTGTAACTTGTATTACGCTCCATAGCTGCTATGCAGGTGTCCTGAATCATGCGATCCAGATCTGAAGCTCGCGAGCTGTTGCACTGAAAACGAAAAACAATTCTACTTTTTGTTTTTATTGTATTTAATCTCAGTTAAACAATACGGATTTTGATGTAAAGTTTACTGGCTTGACTATAAGAAAATGATATTATATCAACATTATACCGTACAAGTATTGAATATTCATGCGACAATGCTATTTACTGTGGGAGTATTTGCTATCTCTGCAATGATATCTTCAGCAATATCTGCTTATCTCAGTATCTAAAATATGTTTAAACGTAATTCGAATGATAACTATTTGCGTGACATGACGTTAGCATTTACGTCGTCATCTGTATTTGCGCACACGTCAAGTTAAATATATGTAACGCAACACTGGTACTGATGATTCTGTCATCTGATTATCGTACGAGCATCGATAAACGGGTGATTATGCTGTAAAAAAAACAGATAAAATAAGGTTATGCTTACGATGGACTCTTGGCAAAGCTGCGATTTGATGTTACCGCCCGAGTCGCTTTTCGCACACTTGTCCGATGGTAATGTCGTGTTTCTGTAGGAGATCAGTGGTAACGGCACAAAAGAACCAAGTCAATCACCTGAGAGATCGGCTCATCGACTACGATGAAAACTATTAGGCAAACGTAATTGCGCAATAAGTTTACATGCAAGAAGTACATCTTAGATTACAATGTGTATCATAAGTAAACGTACGTATTAATGTCGATACAGCTTCTAATGGAAATGCGAATAGCTTTCGGTACACGATCAACGCGGGCGGTGCACCCGCTTTCACAGTGCCCCCAAGCTGACCAGGGGGTCCAGCTAGCCTGAACGGGCTGTTCGGGAACGGGCGTTCGTGCACTTGAAGGTAACAGAGGCGGAGGCATCGGAATCCGTGGAGGTGGTAATGGCGTTTGATTCCAGCTATTCCCATGGTTACGTAGCGAGGCTTCCTTTGATTCTCGCAGCAGATTGTGGTCTCCGTTAGTAATTTCCGCACACACACCGCCACGGCACCACTGAAAAAATCACCGAAATTATTTGTGTAATAAAGCAGCTAATGCCGGTAGCTAATATAACACAAATTGTTGTTTTCCTCAGATACAATGCGTGACTTGAAAGGGCTACGTTAAAAGCGTTCGCCAACAGAAGATGTCCATAATTTACCCGCAGGCAAGTCTAATTAAAACTTGAACGTGAAGCAAACGTGAAGAGTAGCAGAACAGGCTTTTTAATACGTACTTTGTTTCTTCCGCATTGAGTTCCTTCCATTGCTGTATAGCCGTGCGTGTTGCGAACCAGAAGTGCTTCACCAGTCTTTTGTTCGCATTTGAGTATCCGGCACACGTCTTCAAGATTCTGAAACCCTGCCCGTCGGTAACCGTCTCCGAATTTCATTTCACACTGCTGATCAGCTGTGTAGTGGACTCCTGGAAATAGCTTGTAGATCCGGGACTCGGGACCCGCCAAGAAGTTTTTATTTGAAGATCTGTCAATGGTAGACAGGAAGTACATTCGTCCTGTATCGAGTTTTTTCGCTGCACTCTTTTTTTTGCAATACATTGAGGCATATGGGTTGTAATTACCGATAGTATTAAACAACCATCATTGATAATCATGATTTCTCACCGTTTATAAAGGCAGTCAGCGCGCTCCGTGTTGAGAAAGGCCTGGAGGGATTTAAGGCTACATTTGGACCACGTCTTTTTAGTGAAGCCGGTAGTGGAGCTCATAATGAACTTGTTCCAGGGGCAAACACTGTTGTCGCCCTCACCGTCGTGTTCCATTCCAAGTGAGTGACCTGTTTCATGCGCAATGATGTGGGCACTCTGCAGATCTCTGCCCTCCAGTAATGCACATGAATGCAACTCATTGCACATACCGCCCACAGCTGTCATGCCTACTACGTCCTTCATTTTATGACCGTGCTTATTCCTAGCGTACAGGTTCATTGCTGGTAGTCATAGTAACAGTTGCAGTGGATAAAATTATCGCACAGCAAAATACAGCATCAACAAGAATGCACAAATATTGTGAAGTTTAGTCATTTTGTTTACGGCTACGCGTTGAACGCTCATTCACTTAGGTCACAATGTTGTTCGATGATCAATTGAGCTCGAAATAGGGGTCGGCAACGAAGTCCTCATTTAACAAGATTGAAACCAGTCCTACCTGAGATCAGAACTGCGTAGTCCCAGTGCGTATACTCGCTATCTTTTGTGTTCCTCCGAGCCTGCTGGTATATACAGAACGACGTCAAATAATAATCATAGTCTTGGTTTGATGGTATCTTATCCTGCAATGACAAGGCAATATGTGTCGGTAAGCGCTTCGCAGGTGATAGCAATGGCTTCTATTCAAACTGTGATCAACAACACGGGACAACGGCCAAGGGTAAATATGTGTTTCGGTATTTGCGTCTGACATAAGGTGCACGTAACTAGATGGTTGAAAAAGTTCAAAGTGAAGAGAAATAGTGGAACTTTTTTAGAACTGAATGTTTTTACTACTAAGATCCTTCTGCTAACAACGAGATCATAATTAAGAATACTTTCGGCTAATAATGCCATTAAATTTACCTGAGCTTGCGGATACATGATTTCTAGATATGTAAGCGTGATGCTCACTAAACCACCAAGGGACTCCTGCTCGTAGACTACTTGCATTTGATTGATGAGGGTCAGAGCGAAGATGGCGACCTGGCGACGCGTGTCACGGGGAAACACGTGCTCAATGTGTTTGTACAGGCTTTCGTCGACAAAGAAAGCCGTTTCAACAATCGCCTTCTGAGTTCGAACTCGGGTAACGTTAGCACGATGGCCCAAACTTGGCATCGTAAGGGCAGCTGGAACCCTGGTGTGACTCGGCGAGTGACGCGACATCTCGCGTGGATATTCACGAATTACAACCCTATCGGACGACTCTACAGAGTTGTGCTACGAATTAAACGACTAAGTTCTGCAAGCGTTAGTAACAGTTTGTATATCTTGCGCAGTTGATTGCAAGGCTACGATTTCCTATAAGTTACGTTAGGGCAAGTCTTCGATCAAATTTGAGGATTCAAGTTTGAAGCGATCAGTCGCGAAGACACTGAAAGTAAAGACTAATAAGTGCTTACGGCGTCAGCATCTAACGCAAACAAATAGCGAGCTTGTTACTATATTAAAAGACTAGCACTCGGTCTTGCTTTTTTAGTGAAAAAGGAAAAAGCCGTCGGGCCGAATTTCGAAAAACGTTTTCGGAATTCATACCATCAAACTCTGTTAGCAGTTTCGTGGTCTGGTTGATGCTTACAATGACGTGCGCATCACTGACCGTTGCAGTCGAATTCACGTCATGAGGTAGTGGGTATATTGCCAGAGTCTTGTTTCCTGATCCCCAGTAGACCATTCCCCGCATCCCGCCGTCGCACAGTGATACGGCCGCCTTTGAGGCTGGTTCCCCAAGCACGCTGCCGATATAATAGCACCTAAAAATGCACAAAAATGTTACTGAATTAAAATTAATGGCGGCATATACAAAATATATATAGGGACACCAAACTTTTGGCCCATCGAAGTTATCCCAACGTCCAACTATATTCCAACACGGAACAGTCATTGTCGCTGTAAATGGGTATACCTACAGTTTCCTATTGTGTAGGACAACTACAACGTATAATATGTCTTTATTTGACGGAGTTTGTAAAAGCAAGATATTAACGCTCTGGATTATATGTGCATATATATGTTTATTGGGAAGTACCCACTCGATGTCAACGGAAGACTCATCGTAACCGCTCGCTTCCATGTTATTCCGAAGCATAAAGTTCCGGCTTACAAGTCTTCGATTCCTTCTCAACTTGAGGCGAATATGACGACCAAAGGCATTTAACGCAATATTAGCATTGTTCTGATGACCAGATCTTCGCTTTCGGCCGACGCTGCGAACAGAAATTACTTCTGTTTGTTCCACTTGCGCTCCCCCTACCAGGAATAAAGGATCATTTAATATTGCATAACCTATTGATGGTAGTAAATGCATCGCTCTATCAAATGCCTATTAAACTGCAAAGACTTAACTATATATATTTTGTACATTACGTATATATTTTCGTATATCGTTTAATTTACGCGTATTGCTGAAGTAAACATCAATGTTTGATTATAACAAACTTATCTGTATCGTTTGTCAGATTCATTGTAGTATTAAAGCTGCTACCAGGCACAGGGTGTTTTCCATTTTTAAATACCCAGGGCGCAAAAAATCGGGCTGCGGTCCATGTTGGTACGGAAAATGATGGCACTTGATGTATCGTATTTTAACATAGTCTCAATTATACCTAGTAGTAAAACTTGGTTCTATTGAGTTCTACATGTAATGGTGTATTGTGGTATAATCATATAATGATGTAAGGTACATGTTTATAATGAAACTTGAAAAAAGGCTTGAAAAAACTTGAAAAAATTTAATGGCTAACGATAGACAAATGAATAAATCCTACGAGCTGTTTCGAGTCATTACGGACGCCTGGACTTCAGCATAAAAAAAATACGGTAAACGTGTCGTCAAACACATCCAAAAATATTTTAATTAACTAGGCTCAAGTGTTCTAATAATTATAATGATAATCAGCAAAAATAAGTGGAGTTAACTAATATTGCATGTGCAACGGACGGTATTAAGTTTGATATAATTCTATGGCCTTAGGTTGTTGTCAATGAAACCTATTAGGCTACTGAAACGTGTGCTAGTCCAGCCAGCTACCCGTCCGCCAACCATATGAACCCTACCTGTTGATACTACGAATGAATTGAAAACTCACGTGCAAGTAAATCAGTGATTGCTACCACAATATCATCGGCAGGCTGCAAGTGGAAGAATACGTCAGGTTATAATAGTCCACGAGAAGCTCGAAAGAACTCCATGGCGCTCGTCTCGTAGGAAACTTTGTGTTTTTTTTTTCTTAATAACCAAACACACAAATTGCCGATTGAATCGATGAGTAACACTACAAAATAGATAAATTTCTGATTTTCGTTTTAAGCCCAAACCTGCGTCGAAAGACGTACTGTTTAAATATGAACTCTTTGATCTATTGTTATTCAATAGAAAATATTTTATGTAAGCTCACCTCCACTGACGCTGAGGCGGCCGTAGCCACCAGAAGGGAAACGACTGTGAAAACATGTTTATGAAGGCGCATCGAAGGTTTCAGCTCAGCGGCAAGTCGATCTGGATTGCGTCGATCTTTTACGATGCTTAAGGAAAAGACGTCCTAGATTATGAGTACGTTGTACGAAGAAAGTTTCCTGAAAACAAATTAAGAGTAATGCGTTGAAATCAGAGATCGTTCAATAGAAGATATAAACACACTGCTGCTAGTCCGTTATGACTGGAAACAGTTTGAGAAATACACAGCTGCGTCCATTACGCTACATGCTACAGTATATACTTGAAACATGCAAGCATTTGATGGGCTTCGGGTCTAGCGGCGGACAAAATAACGCTCGAAGAGACCAAATCCGATTCGTCACTGCCCTAGATAGAGTTATTTCAACTAATAGAATCTTAGTGTAGGGCATGTTTTAGATAACGAGATAGACTGTTACTCAAGCATTGCCAAAATTAAAACTCTACATTGTATTCTATAGCAGGAAACTTCGTTCGTTCGTTCATAGGATCCAGTAACCATAAAGGACGTCATATCTATAATTTTATTGTTGTTGTAAGTAGAATAAAAGATTCTAGATAAGAGCGAACACGTTTAGAATCGTAAGTCACAGCCCTTTAAGTAAAGTTGTATTTACAGTGCGGCTAATTTCGGCCATATTGTACACCAGTCGTTTATCTGTCTGGTATATTGGCGATTTAAATCGTGGAAACCTTCGTCTTCAAATGTTCCTAAGAGGTTTTTCGTCTAGGAAGACGTCTAATCGCACTCATGAGTATGCCCATAATAATATGTCGTACTCAAGGCCAGCGACGCGAATCATACCAATTCCTATAAGCAAAGGCGTACCGTAAGGGCAAAAAGGATTTCTTTACTCCTTTATATAAAGTGAAGGTAATTTGGACGGAATAATTTTTTCTTAAAGGGGAACTCATCAGTTCGAGTTCAGGCAACACTCAACGATATCGAGGCATTCATTAGTATTTCGACTAAATAAGCTGTAAAAGTTAGTTTCGACGAACAAAATTACTAATAGGGGGAAAACAAGCTCAAGGCGTAATCCGCAGCGGTATCTATGTCGACTTTCTCCGAGCTGATTACCTGATCTTATTCTTATTTGTTACGTCTTTAAAGTTTGATTGTTGTTTACGACATGGCTTGAATAATCATTTATGTCTGTAGCTTTTGTTTCCTTGGTAGCTGGAAGAAAAGCTGTCGTATTACTTCGCGGCGTTGTGCAGTTTCAAGTGGAAGCCAGAAGAGCACAAAGTCTGTTTTATGCTCGTTCCCCTTTTTCCCATTTATTGAAGTCAATCGGAGCGTTCGAGCGAAGACTCTAAAATCTACTGTTAATAATTGATGACGAAATAGGGAAAGATGAACTGCGAGAGCGGCATGGAGAAAATAAATCTCCAGCTAGCACTCAGCGATTCATCCTTCGTTCATAGAGCAGTTACAGACAAAAGAAGGCATTAATTGCCACCACTGACGATACGAACTTTCCTTATCGCGTGATTCGTGTAGCGCCTGGTGGAGGTTGGGCGAATCAATAATAATTATACGAATGAAAATCTCTTCCTCTGGGTTTTCATAGCTCGCCAGGGAAAGGACTAGTTTATCTCCTTTTAGACGCCACACTGCTCATCGAAGATTTGAAATTACGCTTTAGACTTCCGAGGACCGACGCCATCTCTGAGTGAAGTTCGCCATAATAGATGGCGAATTCGTTAGCATGGGAACGACGGGAGACAACAACTGGAAGTAGCTAGACCATTATTGGCCTCACATTGTTATCCATTTCTCTATACGCTTCCCTCACTAGCTATGTACAGACAGGCGCTTTCGTGGCTCTATTGACGGGTGTACTTCTACTAGACACGTGGATAATTCCGATATGTAGCATACAACTACTAGTTGTCTCCGAGTGCCCTCAGTTGAGAGTCTGGCACACTGATTCTCTCGCGTGTTCAGCTCTTAGGTCGTAAACTATTAAGTCATATATGTTACAGCTCAGGCGAATGATCGCCATATGAATGAATGATGACAGTTAATCTCATACAATGTCATCTTATACGTACTTTGTTGTTATGTGCCTTTATAGAAGCCTGTTGCTGAACATGTAACATAAATCGCGAATAATCTTTATCTGGAATATTATATAATAAAAATTTCGTTTGAAGTCATTGCTCACAAGATTTAAGAACTTAACCCACTTAAATTCAAAGCCATCTTTGTTACACCAAGAAAAAGTCACATTGCCTCCGGTGTTTTCCCTATTTGTTATTAGGAATCGCAGAAGATTGTTAGCTCGGTGTCATTTCCTGTTTTACTCTCCAACTATCAATGTTTCACCTAAGAAATAAACATCGTCCATTACAAAGAAGCATCTGAGGATTTGAAGGCTTCGGAAATTTAAAATCAACTAACCATAAAGTGTACGCAAATATTTTGAGGAATCCATTCGATCGAAACAAACTGCAAAGCAAAGTCCCCTATAACACAACAGAAGTATGAATACAGCAAACATTCAACACGTTCCCTTATCTTTTATCCATCATTTATTATATAGCACCATCAATTTATCGCTCTAAAAAACAGGACAAGATTATTTGATTTCACTAAGAATTGCTAGTACTACTGAATGTCAGTCGTTCAAATGCATCTCGGAACCTTTGTTTTTACTTGGCAAATTAAGTTCACTCCTAAAACACTTGACAACAGCCAAAGCTTTTAAAACAAGTGAAAACTTTCCAAGTTGGAATCGACAACTGTTGTCTGCATCTATAGAGGATCTGTTCCCATATTTACAAACACATAAGCATTTAATACGTATAGGTCCGATCATAGGTCGAAAACCATGCCGCTGAATACGCTTAAACGTTTCAGGAGGGAGGAAGTGGCAAGGATGCTTACGTTTTTAGTTCATATACTGATATTTTGCGGTAATTGCGGTACAGAATTTTAAATCATCTGACTGTTAGCGCTTGATCTTTTACAATCGCTCGTGGGGAGCTCTGCAGATACGTATGAAATTTCCTCGGGTGATTTTATCTCTACAAGGATTTAATCTCTAAGTAAAACCATTACATTTTGTAGGTTATGATCTTGCTATCCATGGACTTACTTGTAGAGTTCGATTCCAAAATGTTTTTCTATTCTCTGGTGAAATCACTGACAGGAAAGCACTAGCGTCCACACTCTGATTCACAGAAAACGCCTCGGAGAGCCGATAGCTACGGCGGCAATAAGTCACGCTCCTCAATGGCTACTATCTCGTTTCGAGATCACTTGCTTTTTTCTTCCTTAACGCGTTGTCTGTGCTAAGCACGGCATTAAAGCTACCCACAGTTTTCCACGCAACGGCAACGAATCGAAAGCAGCGAGCACTAGCCAGGGTCTCCAAGTAGGTTTGAGCAACGCCTCCAAAGATTCGCCTTGCTCCTTCCGACAGCAAATGCTCTCAGATCACCCTACCCACATGCTATATGCTAAAGACACAACTGCTCGTGGCGCTCTCCTAGCCCACCACATCGCGCCGTAACCGTCGCCGACGGCAGTAGCAGTTCGGCGAGCCCAAATGACCGTGTGGCACTATAAGGCAAAATATCAACACCCGGCAGCGAGCAATGGCAGACGCGGTCCTCTACACGCGGCAAAGTGTGTGTGCGTACTGTGGTTAGCTCTGAGAGGGTAGTTCGTTCACCAACTACCGTCCGTCGCGCAGAGATAGCCGGCTCTGACATAACATATCTGAAAAGTAGAACCAACCGGCACTTTTACCAGGGCTGTCATTGTTCTGACTGTTGTATCTGCCGGGTGCCGCCTCTTTCTCCGGTCAGTTTCATCTCATTGTCTTCAAGTTTCACTCTGTTTCTCATCCTTGACACTCTCTTCCATTTTTCCCCTTTAGTTCAACCTTTATTGCCACACGCGACTTGGGGCCGTGTAACGTCATCCCAACTACTCAAAATGAACCACCAACGTGGCTGGCTTGCGAGCAAGCAGTCGCAGAGAAAAATCAGCCAGCAGTTAAAATTATAGTACTCCCTTCCTTCCATGCCAATGATGACGCTGGCTGCATATCTCTTCCTGTGAATCTATCGTTTTTTTACTGTTCATAGGCGCAATGTATTGTCTTTTTCGACATTTAATCTTTCCATTTCGTACCGTTATTCTTTGAGAATAGTTAAAAGTCGACACTGAAGACACAGCCACTAGAGGGAAATACAGATATTATAGAGCTGCTAAAGAAACATACGTTTTTGGGCGATAGCAACGTGACTGTAGCAGTAAATCGCTGGCCCTTTATGTTGCTATTGTTTAATATAATATTTTCTTAGATCTGACACAGAATCGCATTACGTAGGCTGCAGAATAGTGTTTGGACATTGTAAACTCGGGCAGTTGCTGCGTAAAGCGCCCAAACAAACTAAAAAAATCCATAGTAAAAATTATTCAATTATCAAAACTCTTCCCGCTGCGCGCTCTGATTCTGAAGAGGAAGAAAGCGTCGGTACGTCATTGCTTCAGGCTTCTTGCTAGAGCTAGCTTGACAATTCTTCGGCAATATACGCTGCAATTTGCCTGAAACTTTCTATAGTCTACCCCCTCGATTAGTTATGTTCATAAACTGTCACTCGAACGTTAATATATAATCTGCTTAGTTTCTTAGTGAAAAAAAGAAAGTAATATTTGCGTTTTTCAAAAATGTACCATTCGCGTTTCTGAGAGGACCAGCGTTGGATCTTGTAGTTTCTGTGATAGTCCTATGCATTTTTATGAGTTTGCTTTATTTATCATTGTCAGTCTTTACTTCAGTTTGCAATTTTACTTCAATTTATATATCTTTGCGGTAGATTCGTCAGTCTTTTAGATGAACTTAACAAAATCTTAAATGGAAACTGTTTTGGATGTAGGTCTTTCTGTGTGTAATGATATAAAGCTGAATTTTTTATCGAAACCACTTGACAGATTGTCAGACGCACTAAGAGCTTCTACAAAAAAAAAAAAAATATATATATATATATATACATATATATGGATAGAAAAAATCGTTGTAACCTATTTGCATTAATGTACTTCATAAGTTCATACATTATTATTTTGAATTTGGCTGAGATTTGGCTTTGCTATGTGATT